TGACACCTTGGCAAAAGGTGCCTCATGCCAAGGTGCTGTTTGCTATCATAGAAAGTCCATTTAAGGGAGCCAGTTCTTTTCTTCCCCAGCCCTTTGAAGCTCTGGTATATGAGTAGCAGTCCATGGTGAGTCCAGGGGGTTGAGCTGAGGAGGACGTGCGTTGCACCGGCAGGGATGTAGCCCAGTCTGGGAAGGTAGCAAGCTTCACAGCCGTGAGCTAGTTCCATAGAGCCTTGGGCTGGCAGATGCTTGTGAGTCTAATCCCAGGCTTCCCATCTGCAGCATGTCTGAAGGATGGAGAAAAATAATTCAGTTTGTCTTTTCTATCACTTGCCTATGAAAGACATTAACACTCAAGCCCAGGCCAATAGCTTTTAAATAGTAGGATTCTTCTCTGGGAGGATGTAGCTGATTTTTTTTTTTTTTTTTTTTTGTGGGGGTTGGGGGGTATGGCGTGGACTGTGAGATGATAAATCGCTTGACTCAGGTCATTATGGCAAAATAACATTTACTGGGCTTCAACCCCATCCTGGGAGGTTGATGCATTCAGTAGTTTACATGTTCCCTGCCAAGTGTGACTTGCATCATCTGTGTTTTTGAAGCCCTGTTAGATGGATGCCAGCTCGGTTTACTTTACTAGCAGTTAAAACAAATCCTAACACTGCTGTGGAATGTTAATGAACCTTTGTGCCTTTTAGCAAAATAAATTGCAATAGTCATTACTGTGACCCAGGGGAGGGGAGGAGAGGCTAGTCGCTGGTCGGTGGATGCTCACCCAGGATCTGCCCTTGCTGCTGGGCCTAGTTTTGTAATCTCTGATTTCCTTCTCAGGGCAATGACCAGGAGAAGGCAGTATGGGGAAGTTGCAAATCTCCTGCAAGGTGTTGTGAATGTGCTAGAGCATTTCAACAAGTACATGGGGATTCCACAGATTCGACAGCTTTCTGAAAGGTAAAGTGATAGCTTCTTGTGCACCTCTCAGGTCTCCTGGAAAAGAAGTCAGAAAATGCATTACACAGCATACATTCCGCAGGAACTGAAAGGCTGGATCTGTGCCCTCAGGTTTATATCCAGCCAAAAGAGATGGTGTAAAATTGGATGGCCTTATTCATCCCTTTAACAGTCTGTTCTGCTCATAACAGTGATTAATATGGATGTAATTCACCAGTGACCTGGACTTCTCATTGGTTGGCTCTTAATAGGCATCGTCATTTACTTAGTAACAGTGAAAATTATTTCATGCGACCTTTTCAGCATCAGTTTTTGTAATAAACCTGGAACTGATATTTTCCACCACTTTCTTAGCCTCATGAATCTGTGCCATTTTACACTTCTGGGCCATAAGATATGTACACTTAAAATAAAACAATGTAGTGAGCCAGTTTCTGACTTGCACCTGACTTCTGTGTAGTTGCACTGAATAGAAGTGATAGCAGAGTGTTTCTCTGTAGTGTTGAGCTTGGAGCTGCCCAGAGCTTGATGGGTCCATTTTTTCATCTGGTCACAAAGCCAGAGCTTAACTTTGGTTGTGGTGTGACCAAACAAGCCTTTTCTGAGCTTTACAGAGCTTCTTGTCCTAGCTTGGCTCTGCGCCTAGGAACCTCAGGGCCAACTGGGGCTTGTCCTATGGATGTAACAGCAATATCTGAGGTATTAAGCAGGGTTATAGGTTGTTCTCAGCATTGTTGCCCTGGGTTTGCTGTCTTGCTTCTTGTATGGCCAGGGGTCTTGGCACTCAGCAACCCCTACTTTCTGATTGATCAAGGCTCAATGTTGCCTGACTTTCCGAGATTGCCTTAGGTGATGGCAAAAGCTTTGCTTGAGTCTTGGAAGTTCGGCTTGAGAAGATGAGCTAGAGCCTTACTGCCCAGGGAGGCATGGGTGACTCAAACCAGTGTGAAACAATACATATATCGCAGCCATACACATAGGGAGGGACCAAGGAGACTTTCATAGTCACAACACTTGCTTTGCACCTGGTGTGCTTGTAGCCATCATTCTCAGCTATGGGAAGTGGCCTGTTTGTTACAGAGGGACTTGCAGGAGCTCTGCAGATACTGCATGTTCAGTGTCTGCTGCTGCTGGCCCTAGCTGAGACAGCAGCTTGGTCTTCTAAGCACTGCAGCATTGTACAGTCCTGCCTGTGTCTTATTTGTAATGCTGACAATATACAGCCAACACTGGATGCTTCTTCTGGAAAGACCTTCTGGTGGAGGCATGAATGAGGCAGGATCAATCAAGAGAAAAGCTCTTTTTGTGCTTTTCTCAAAAGCCTACAGAAATGCTTGGCAGCAGGGGCAGGGGTCTTGATTTAACAAAGCACTTAATTGCCTACAATTGCTTCAGCTTGAGCATGTTCTAAAGACCCTTCAGACTCAATGTAATTGAATGCACACGCTTCAGTGTTTTGCTCAGTGAAAGCCACGGTCCATTTAAGCCAGGGGTAGGCAAAATACGGCCCATAGGTCGGATCCAGCCCACTGATGGATTTTGTGTGGCTCATGATGGGTTCCTCAGTCCTGCCCAGCCCAGGCACAGGGAGCAGCCAGGGCCATGGCAGAAGCTGGAGGGGAGCAGTATTTGGGAGCAGGATGGGTGGGAGAGGCCAGGATTGCAGGGCGGTGAGAGTGCCACACTCCACTGCCCACATGCCCCTTTGACAGGTGCCGCTTCCACGGCCAGGGACATGTGGGAAGCAGATCACAGCTCTGTTCCAGGCCTCGAGCCTGTGTTGTCACTGTCCCAAGATCCCAGGGTGTCCATGGAGACCACCCGGGACCTGTGTGGGCAAGGCACACAGCCAGGTGGACAGGATGGGGTCACTTAGGGAGTTTTGGTGAGCTGTGCAAGGGGCAAGAGGGGTGTTGACCCGGCCCACGAGAGCTTACCAAAACTCCCTTTACGGCTTGTGGCCCAAATAATTGCCCACCCCTGGTTTAAGCCCTGTTCTCCAGAAATAGAACTGGGGCCCTTTTTTGCAGATTGATAGTGTCCAGAGTAGAGATGATGTGCTGCGTGGGGAGCTGTGGAGGGGCTGTTATGCAACGGACCAGAGTGCGGTTCTTATTTACAGAAGTTCGTACAGAAAAAATGTAAGAAAAATAAAGAAGTATCAAATCACACCAGAGTCTGTTGTGGGCTGGGAAGAAAACTTTCCTCTGTGTTATTCCCCGTCTCAGATAAGGGAAGGAGAAGTTTAGGGAAAGTCTGTTCCAACTATTTTTAGACTCTTCTCTGCTGGATTTTCCTTTCCTTGCTTACACAAGGAGAGTTGCACCATCTGGTAATGATAGAAATGGTTGCTTGTGGGGTGAAAGTAGGGCTACACCCATCATGTTGCTAGGCTCTTTTACTACGTTAGCATCCAGGCAGCTCATAACGGTGGGGAACTGGATTGTGATTGAGCTTGATTGCATGCATGTATTGGAGCACCATTAGGATTGGGTATTTCTTTCCCTTGTCTTGCTTTGAATAATGCATGCGGTTAATATAACACCAAAGTTTTTAGCCTTTAAATCATGTATTTATATTTGATACACCCATTCATTTTGCTGATCAATCAATAAACTGAAAGGAAAGTATTTCAGAGGGCCCTTGGATGTTTTTGAATCAATCAGTGCCCCCCCCAGGAGGAAAGCCGGGGGAAAGTCTGTAATGCTAATTGAAAGGTGTTCAATAAATTACTAGCGTAATGTTTTATTATGACTAGCTCCACTAGGGAGGGGGGCTGGAGCCAGCTTTGGACAGCATGGGAAAGGGGAAGGGGCTGCTGAAAGTTACTGGATGGGATTATTAGGTAACATGGTGTTAATTTAGATCCTAGTCCTCAGTGCTAATGTAATTGCATGCATTGAACTATTGCATTTCTGCAGTCACTCAGCAGGAACACATCAGAAGTGACTGATCCTTTCCTGGGCAGGTTCTGGTGCTGAAGCTTTCCCTGGATCCACGCTGCATTGGACTCTGCACTCGGTTCAAACCCAGCCAGGCTTCTAAAAACAGCTTCTGTGGTGTATGGAAGGATGTTAATTATAGTAAACAAGAGATACTGTTATCTCCTATTTCTGCTCTGTTTTCTATCTGTGCAGGGAGGATATCATTAGTGGTCAAAAACCCACCCATGACAGTGGTCTGAAAAGCCTTGCAGATAGTGGAAAAAGCCTGGAAAGTATTTAAAAGAGACATAATTATAAGTCTGCCACAGAAAAACAGGCTAGCTCAGCCCCTTCTATTCTCAGCAGGCCGCCAGGCACAGTCTAATATTTCTGGTAGCTTTGGCAAAAGGAAATGTGGTTTCTAGTGATTTGCTGTTATATGAAACTCAGAAAAGCCCTTTCTTTTAAAAAGGTAGTAGTGGAGGGGATAAGGGAGAAGTCAAACATTTGCTAACACCTATCTCACCAAAGCTTGGAGATGTGCGTGAGCAGTGTCAGGGGAGTGCACAGTCCCGGCCCCTTAGGTTCAGGATGGCCCTACGTGGCCGTCCCAGCCCTTGGCCGGTAGATGAAGCAGAGATATCTGCTTAAAACCAATGTTGAAAGACCTCTGGAACTGTGTCAGGCTGGCAGAGTCAGTGACTGCTCCACCTGCCAGCATTTCAACTTCTAACTGACTTTTTGCTGTTAACGCTGGGCTGTCGGGGCTTTTCAGGTTTCAGGTTTGCATTTCAGCTTGGGTGCTGGTACGAGGCCAGGCCCCAGGTTTGAAGAGGCTTAAACCCAATCTCCATTTTCCAGGTAGTAGGAGCAAAGGGGCAAGCAGCACAAGCAAAGCTACACGCACGAGTGCTGCACTGCACTTCTCTTCCCTTTGCTCTAGCATGGTTTGCAGTGTGTTGCATTGAGGGGAAACTGGAAATAAAGCAACAGAATAAGACCCAATCTCCTTTTTTTGCTTTGCTTTTTTTTTTTTTAACCCACGATTTTTCTGTTCACCTCGGTGATTATTAAAACCTTCTTAATGCCTCAGTTCAGCCAGCGTGTGAAGTTAAGCACATGAGCACTCCCGATGTAGCCAATGGGACTGTTCACATGCTTAAAATTAGGCACATCCTTAAGTGGTTTCATGAATTAGAGCCTAAAACAACAAGATCCATGGTTGGGCCTAGAACTGCTTGACAGGGCGTCTTTGCTTCTCTCCGCTTTTAAGAAGCCGGCAGCTCTTGTGTTCAGAGGCTCCTTTGTACTTTGCGCAGCAGCTGGAGTCAAATGCTAATGTTACTGTTAGCCTGTCAAATCTAAGGACTAGGAATCACAGTAAACAGGTCCACATGTTCCTGTCAAGTCTCTTATTCACATGAATACTGATATTTTTGGGGCTTGAAAGCTTGTTTATTTTTTTGATCCATTAAGCTTCCTTCTCAGGAACCAAAGGGCTGGATCCCTGCAGTCCTTCCTTACACAAGTCATTTGTGTGATATTTAAATGGGAGCGCATGCATAAGTAAAGCCTGCATCTCTGGGTCCTTCTGTTGCTATGGATTTATTTCCCCTAATTGCTGCTGTATTATTCCTTTTTGTATCGTGACCATGAAACAGGAGTACCAGATGCAGTTCTCTACCTGGAACGTTGTCTAAACTTTCTGACGTGACTGTAAAACTAAACTTGAGAAGTATGTTCAGCATTGCAAGCAGGAGGCTTTTTTGAAGCAAGAGCCCTGTAAATAAATCAGGGGAAAGACTAGTCATACGGTCAAAGAAATTCCACTGTTATGTTCTCAGTGTAACTTTAGGTCGTATAGCCTAAACGATATACAAACAATTCTGCATTTCAACCTCGGAGGAAAAATGACCCTTAAAATCCACTTCATTTCCCCACATTGTTGCATCACTTTGTAACATTTCAGTAAGCACTGGAACTAAAATGGGAAGATTGAAGCAGCAAATCATCCCTACTTTTGGCTTTTAAGGTCTTAAAAAAAAAAATTCCAAATCTATCCCTGATAAACATCTTTTTAAAAAAATCCAGTCTCTTATACAAGCATATCTGCATCTCTGGAAAAATCCACTGTTTTGTATAATCAGTTTGGTCCTTAAAACAGTCTCAGTGCAATAAAAAGTAATGGAAGAATTCAAAGGCAACAAAGGGATTTAAGTGCTTAACTCATTATTTTAGCACTCCCCGACATTTGTAGGCATTTCCTTTTCTCTAGAAGTTTCAGTTATTCCCCGACAACTTGTATTTCTGGAAATTAGAAGCAGTATTCCCTGTGCTAACTCCAAACAAAAGGAAGATTTTTCTCTTCTTGGCCACAGAAGATGGAGCTGGTTAAACTTATCTGCCCACTTTGAGTCCTAGCTTTTTCACTCTCTTAAAGAAATAAAGGATTTATAATACATCCCTGCAGCCAAACAGTGCGCAAGTGGATGTGCTTAACAATAGGTCGGTTCACCTGGAGCTGTGAGTAATGCACTTTGTCAATGGGAGCTTGAAGCTTATCTTGCATAAAAAAGGCTGTTTTGGGGGATACCAGTGGTTTCCACAAATTCAACTGGATTATCTTATATTATCTGCTGGTGTCAACTGGTGTCCATAGCTCCACTGGAATCTGACCGAGAGTGACAACATTGGGCCAGACAGTCAGATGTGTGTTAGTGGATACTGTCCTAGTGCTAACATGCCATCTAGGGATTCTTATTTATTGGATCCAGTGTGGGCATGCCCCTTTTCCTAATGTGGATGTTTGCTTTCTTGTCCTACTACCTAACCCTTTTCATGCATCTCCCCCTGGACATTTAGATGGAAGAGCACTGTTCGGCAACATTATTAATATTATGACACAGGTAGCTGTCACGTGGGCAGCCAAGTAATTACTTGATCTTTCTCTGGCAGGGTAAAGGCTGCCCAGAACGAACTAGGACAGCAAATCCTGGCAGATTTTGAAGAAGCTTTTCCTTCTCAGGGCACAAAGGTAAAGTTCAGACTTTTACCTCTTCTCTCTAATGAGCAGTCTGGTGGCAAATGAACATCAAACATGATTATCATTGGCTTTCATCTGATTTTTTTTTTTTTTTTTTT